GGTTGTTTTTCAATTTGAAAAAGTACCGAACGTAAGTTCCAGGAACTGTTATCGCACCGAAACGACAGATTTGAGAATGTTTTGCAATGTTTTGTGGTGCCAACTGCGTCATTTAACTCGTTTCCACATTACTCTGACCGGCGGCCAATGTTTAATTTACGGTTGTTTTTCAACCTGAAATTTTGTTGCAGTTCCAATAACTGCTCAAGCACAGAAATAATTAATTCGATAAGTTTTACAATGTTTTGTTGTGCTAACTGCGTCATTTAATTTGTACTTAATTACTTTGTCCTACGCTCAGTCTGTTTCAAAGTCGTGTTTTTCATTTCCACATTGATTATCGAGAGTCCTAATTCCAATAACTGTTCTAGCACCTAGCAACTAATTTGCGATGTTTCGCAATGTTTTGTTGTGCTACCTACATCTGCCTCTAATTTGTACTTAATTACTATGAATTAATCTGACCTACGCCCACTTTTATTTTTTTGAAAGTTTTTTCTATCGCCAACGTCTCTATCAAGAGTTCTCATTTCCACTCTAACATCATTAGACACATTCTCCATACTGTTCTTTATACATTTTCTAGGTTCTAACAAGGAGAATTTGAAAACCCATCAAGAGCCTCGTTGGTTTTTGATCATTTCTTTTAATTCTCTCAACTTAAACATTTGATTCAGGGGTTAGATTGTGAGGAGAAATTAGAACCTTGTCACTCGTAGGCATTAAACTGTTAAACGAACGCTTCATTTGAGAATTTTTAATAGTGTGGTCTATGGTGCTCACTATGTCATTCAATTTCTCGTTTCTTGGGGTGACCTTGGCCCAGTCCTAATTTGAAGGTTGTTGGTTCCCAATTTACTTTGTGTTGAACCATAGTTCTAAATACTGTTCTCGTACAGCAACTACTAACTTGCGAGTTTTTTGCAATGTTAACTACGTAAATAGCTTTGTTCTCTATCACTTTGATCTACGCCCAGTCTTTAGTTAAAGGTTGTTTTTCAATTTACATTGGGTTGAAACACAGTTCTAATTCGTGGCGAAATGTCTAATTTGCGAGTGTTTTTTAATGTTCTAATGTGGTAACTACGTAATTCACTTCGTTTTTAATTACTCTGACCAACGTCCAGATCTTATTTTCAAGGTTGTTTTTTTTTTTTCCCTTTCCAGAGTGTTTAGCAAGAGTTCCTATTTCCGCCATCTTAACTTAACGGCTAATTTCAGTTTGGCCGATCAACGCCCTGTCATTATTTCAAGGTTGTTTTTCAATTTGTTTTTCACTCTGTGTTTAACAGTAGTTCTAATCTGTGCTCTGATAACCAAACGTCTAATTTGGTGTTCTGTAATATTTTATCGTGCTCACCGCGAGAGTTAATTTTTCCCTAATTCTAGTGATTTAGGTTTAACAGCACTTAAAATCAATTAAATTAATTACTGATTAAAATTAATAACGCTCTTACCCGTATGCAGAGAAGATGAGTAGACGTGGCCTAGCCTGCTTAGCAGTGTCTTATTTTGCTAACTGTGCGAGTTGAGTTGTAGTTTATAACTGTAACCTCTCCCTCATATATACGGTAGCGTTGTTATTGAGCATTACGTCCATTAAGTAAATTGCCGTTTTCTTTACGGACTGTCCATTTTGAGAACCGTTCTATATTGGTTGATGCGTAGTTTTGAGAATGTTTCGCAATAGTTTTGCCACTACCGACGTCATTTAATTTGCTCTCATCTTCTGCAATATTGTAGCGTTATTTTTGACATATAGTTAAGTTAAATAGCGTGAAGTTCCCATAAGACTTTCTCATAAATAGCGTAAATTTTCTCATAAGACCTCTCTCTGACAGTCTCCACTCCCGGGTTAGGAGTATAAAGTTTCTCATAAGAACCCTCCGTGACAAAATTAAACACAAAAATAATAAAAAAAAATCTCACGATGAATTTCCCCGTCACTACGACAAAACTTTTTTCATAGCCTGGCTAACGTGTCATACCTTGCGCAAGCATTTCCAAGTCTTCGCACAGCCTGAGCACTTTCATGGCTTTCTTGTCTGTCTCAAGAGGTAGATGCTCAATGTACTCCTCAAGGTGTGCCCTACAACAGTAATAATCGAAATAGTAATAAAGATAATGATAATAATAGGGGTTAGTAAAGTGCTTTCGATCTAGCTTAAGAATGGATACTTTTGTCTTAGCATAACAAAATCCAGCTTATAGTTAAGCTCAGCTCAGTTTCTCTTTACACCCAACTAGTATCTGGGAGGCCTGGGCTCGAATCGCGTCGAAGCCGGAATTTCCCCAGACTCCTTTTCTACAATTGCTAAACTGCAGCTCTCTTGCGAGGATCACTGCTTAACCCTTTAACTCCCACGAGTGACCAAGACAGAATTTCTCCTTGCAATATAAATACAATATCAAGTATGCAAGTAATGAGAACAAAGAAAAATATCTGTCAAGGGATTATTAGTTGATCCACTACCAAATTCTCTGAACTAACATCACATGGACTGTATGACTGACGGTAAGGAGAATTACTAATGAGATCTTGGGAGTCAAAGGGTTAATTTTATTTTAATCCGCAGGTCAAATGAAATCTATTTCTTTCCAAATTGAATAAGTGTGTTTTAAATGAATTACAAGGCAACGAAAATTATCTGGAGCACTTAACGAAAACCAAACGAAAATAAATCTGATTAAGAAGCTCACCTTCCGTAAACCGGACACTGCAGAAGGTAGTCCACTGCAACTCTCCAAAGGCTTCAAAAAAGACAATAATTTAGAGTTTTGACTTCACACAAAGCATCGATATTCTTGTACTTAGTTCGTTAAAAATTGCACGTTGGGGGCTGCCATGCCGCTTATGGAAAACAACCCATGGCTAAATCTTTAACAGAGTGACTAGCATCTAATTTTTCTTTACAATATAGCCTCTGAATCAAATTAAGTCCAAGAGAACAAAGAATATGATCACTACCTAGAGGGGCTCCTGATCGTTTAAAGATTTCTCCTTGTTAATACTACAGGAAATGCCAAGAGACAAGTGCGGAGAAAATGCATACCGATGTTAAATGTCAAACAAAATGTATTTTGAACGTGCCGATTAGAAAGTTGGATAGTGAAGGGTTTCAAACCCGGTAACCGGCTGTCTATCGCCGTCTATAAGATCTCCTAACACCATCTGCTAAGCCTACGAACAGGTCCTCGTGTTTGGGCTTCGCCTAACAGCTCCTTTTTTTTCGGAGACAGCCTCCTAATACACCACTGGTAGCCACTTATGGAATAAGTTATTGAAACCTCTATGACTGGTGAACAACTCATTTTGCACAGTACTTGAAAACATAAAAATTTCTCCAGCAAAACCAGGAGAGTTCTTTTCTTCCTCTTAGACGTCAAATTTAATTCGTGTCTCACCTGTGATGCGACATGAGGCTGGCGGAATACTCTAGGAGTAGGAACTCTCTCAGACTGATACTGTGGCTGAAAATTTTCCAGAAATGTTTGAAGAAATTAGTACAGGTAATCGCATGGGGCCGAGTAAAATTAATCAAGGGCTCCTCAAGCGACCTCATGTATGTCTCAGTTATTCAGTTAATTGGTGAGAATTTTGACCATTTGCCACCTCCCTTGAATTTTGCGTGAAGTACCCTCAAATGACCAGTTGATTAAGCTATAATTATGCTTAATAACAACAGACACAAAAGAAGTTTCAAGACAACGTTTACCGATTGAATTCAGATAAATTGAGGGCTAAAGCGCAAAAAAAAAATGTCGGAGAGTGATTGCCGAATAAAGCTGAAAATTCAATCTGCGCCCAAGAAAATGATACAGTTTCAACGCGCGTTAAATTCTGACTAATTAGCACAGGTAACAACATGAACTCGAGAGCACTTTGGTGGTAATAAGCACGAGTAAATCAAAAAACAAAAACCACGAAAAATTATGTTGTTATTTGTTACTAAAAGATATGAAAAACGCATCACAGAAAGTCAAGACGGACGAAATTTTGGCTGCACACGCGCCATTTGTAATTTGCACTCGTGTTACAACTTTACACTCGTGACGTAACTTTGTACCTGTGTTACATGAAAAATGCACTTGATTTCAGCCAATCAGAAGCGCGTATTTTTTCATGTATATCATTACAAACGAAACTAGGAACAAAATGCCTCACAAAGTAAATATGTGACTAAAAGAAAGCTCAAATCCAACGAAATCTGTAAAACCTTGAAACATGGTAATCAGCTGCTAAATATGGCCAAACGACAGCCCAACAGATAAGCGAAAATCAACTTGAAGACAAGAATTAAAATCGCTTACGCGCCGCGACAATATAGTTCCATATCGATGGGACTGTTGTCATCGTCAACTTTAGGACTTTGAGGCCCCCTTTCTTTCTAGTTGACTATTCTTTCACGCATTTCCTCTTCGTCTGTGAGGTCTAAAATGTTGTTTTTTAATCAAGGATGGAGCAAAAGGAAGGAAAAGCAACCTCGATAATTTTAGTCTACGGACACCATTTTGAATTATGTTGAACACTCCATGTAATCAGAGAGTTCCACCTCTGTCTGACTATACGTCATACAATGAAGTAAAAATCAAAATCGCGCGTATTATCTGCAACTTGTGCGCAGATCTTCTTATCCCCAAACTTTTCAAATGTACAACACAAGGATTAGATTAAACTTGAAAGCTACGTTTCGGTGAAGTGAACTCACTTAAATTTGCCCGTCATTCAAACCTTTAGTTTGGTAACTCAGTTGAGTTCAAACCCCTGTCAAATCCTTCTCTCTGTTTCTGGAAGCTTTCGGCACTTTACAATTACCCACAGGCTTAATGTGACTTGTTATAACACAGGCAGCCCAAGCTCCGGCTGTGAGATAATCATCTGGCGAAATTATAAAGGTTTGTATGAGAATATTTACGACCGCTCTTAAGAATAAAAAAAATACAGTCAAATTCTCAATAAAAATACCTCACCGTACTTCTACAGTGCATCGCTTGTTGTCTGACCGCTTACTATGTTAAAAAGAACCTATTTTAGCGAGTCATCAATCTCTAGGTTTACTACATAAGAGAAGCCCAGGGCTGCACACTCCATTTCCGAACGCCCGATCCGAAAGGAAAAAATCCAAGCTCAAAATGACCGGACGACCACAAATCTAACGCAGAATCCCAACACATATACTGTAGTTTCATTACAAACTCGATCTTCCCCGTGGAACCGACGCCGAGCCACAGTTTGCTTCAAAAATTTCCAGTTTAGACGTTTCTCACGGCCCGCGTACACATTTCTCGCCGGGAACACATCAGTAAATTGTCTAAAACCACGAGTGCCAAGTTCAACATAGTAAGCGGTCAGACAACAAGCGATACACTGAGGAAGTAAGATGAGGTATTTTTATTGAGAATTTGACTGTATTTGCTACTCCTGGGAGCGCTCGTAATATTCCTGTCCAAACTCTTATAATTTCGCCATGGCTCTTCTTTCGCTAGGTTATTATCTCACAGCTGGAGCTTGGGCCGTCTGTGGTTATACACTACCTTTCGTGAGGAAATTACAAATGTCTCTTCAAACCTGATGGGAGGCGAATCCAACTGTCCACAATGATGAAGTAAGTCAGTCAGATGGGCAACAAACCACCAGTTTCCAAGAGCCTCGCTGAAAGATTCGACAACCAATAACAACGTTAATTGGATTTTTTTTTTTTACTTATCGTCTATATCGTAACGATCGTTACCTCCACAAAGTCGTGTTGAAATTTGTCTCGTACAACAGGCTCGTGTTTGGGTTTCGCCTCACAGTCATTTTTCCAGCTACAGCCGGCCATTACTCTTGAGGAAAAAGGTATATGAAACCCATGAAATCTTATCCAGAAAGAGCAGTGCTGGATTAGATAACTGCCATTGAGAAAGGCACACTCTTTCACAACCAAAGTAAACAGTGGATCTGTGAAAAATACCTGCTTTCCTTGATCACAGCGTAGACATCAAATTCAAAAGCTGAGAGCAGAATTCTGTCTAAACTGCGCAAACTTCCACTACCTCCAAACATGTCGATGCAGGCCTGAAACGGATCAAGATAAAACCTTTTATTTGCCAAAGGTGAAAACAAAGATCATGTACGTTCTTGCTGTAGCTTAGCTATCAGGTTTATATCAGTTTTTTTCTATTAGTTTTTCGCAGTGGGGATAACGATTTATTCGGTGGACAGCGTTGTCCGCACCTTCGAACCACTAAGCACTGTAGTTTACCTGTGTGTGGTACTGTAAGTCATAAGACTTGACTGCTGGATTACAGTACAACAGTTTGGCTACAAGAAGTTCGTACCAGTTCTTGCAGTATTCTCTAGAACCAAACAAAAGCAAGAAAAAATACTCAGCGTGATTGTAAAATTACGGATGCAATGGTTTGTGCGTAGAAGCATTTGGGAGAAGGTTAGGCTTTCGATATTGTTGTATGGCATGAAAATCTTGCAAGCTGTAGATTTTCTTGGATTTTAAAAAATCAGTTCCATAATTTATTACTCCTAAACCCTTTATTCTAGGATTTGAAACCTAATTTTCTTACTTGAAATCACACATTCGCTGCTGGCTGCATGTTTGTGAAAATTTGAAGTTACATCAAGACAATCCCCACATATTCACACCCTGAATGTAGAATCTTCTTAATTTGTACATCTTTACATTTCATGTTACAACAGTGATGAAGGCAAACTTGAAAAAAAAACTGAAAAGTTAAATCTGTTCCTGCACTTGTAACTTACATCATTTCATCAAATATTTGTTCTTCGCCACAAAGTATCTGAAAAGAATGATACAAGACAAAACAGAAATCAAACATTTTGTGCATGGTGTCAGTGGCATAGCTATCATTCACTGAAATCAACTGAGCCACCACAGTTAATAAATATTTTGTTGTTTGGAGGTAAACAGTCATGGAAGAACACTTGTATACTAAAGCAACAGATTTTGGGCTGCATGGGCTGGTACCATTTTAGTTAATCTCAGTAAATGAAAACTCTGATAAAGAATTTCTCTCAGGTTGTTGAAGCATCAATCACTTCTTCTTAAAACAAACCCACACCAGCACAGCCATAAAATTTTTTCAGAACTCACCTGCACAATCATACTACAAAATTGCCTAAATGTAAATAAGCCTCCATCATAATAAGTTTTCCAACGTTGCATTTTAAACCTTTAGCTTCCATGAGACCAAGAGAGAACTTCTCCTTACAACATCAATACAAAATCACAAAGAAAAGAAGAGAGAATAAAGAAACAAATAAATTAACCAATGATTAGTTGATCCATCACAAAATTCTCCAAACTAACATCATACAAATAGTAAAGAGTTTAACTAAAGAGACCTTGGGAGGTAGAAGAGTCAAAGCATTCCAGTGTATATCCTACCCCCTGTGTCATCTTTGCTTGTTGCCATTGTCTACCTCACTACAATCAGAGGGAAGTGAACCTTCCTCCTACTAGTACCCCCTACCTGACAAATTTTTTGCAAGTGTTCATTTCCAGCATATGTTTCATTATCTAGACAATGTTTACACTCTTGCTGCCAGTGACTCCATTTCATGGTGAACTCTGCTAAGCTCTGTCCCATGTACAACTAGGGAAGAATAACAGAAACAGATGTGACATGCAATGAACAAAGAGCAATAGGGGATCAGATACAACAGAGCCCATTGTTAGAATGTTGTTAAAATATACATCCTCTACCTTATAACACTTAATAGGTGATGATATCACCTAGTACTCCACCACTTTGACACCCTAGAGTGACTCATTCCTCTTCACAATATCACCCTCAAATGATACATTAAGTTCCCAAGAATAAAGGCCATGATCACCAATTCAAGAAGGTCTTGATTGTTAAACAAATTCTCCTTGTTGGCACCTTAAGAAATGTATAGAGAACAGTATGGAGAATATGCATACTGATGTTAGGGTGTAAAGGGTTGAGTAATATATTAAAGTTCACATGGCAACTAGGTGGACAATCAGACATGGCTTGATGCTACTCTTTGGTTTACAGATTTAAGGACCTCTTGTTGCAGCGTTTAGATCACCCCTGATGAAGGCACTAGACAGGAGTGTCGAAACATTGGGTCTATGAATTGTAACTTCTTTGGTTACATTCATTAAATCTGTAAACCAGAGTAGCATCAAACCATGTCTAGTTGAGTAATAGTCTGCATTTCCTATCAGTTTACCACAGTGACTGTAATAACTCAAAAGCAATGTTAGGAGAACACAAGGAAAGTTTGTTCGCCACAAACCAAACATGACTGATGTACAGAGTTCCTGAGTGTTCTTTGATTTCTAGTAAATTGATGGCAAGAAATTTACGCTCAGTTATCACTTAATTGTGTATATTTTGCATTTACATACCTGATACATGGGCATTTTATGAAGAAGTTCATCCATGCTTGCAAACGCCTGGAAAAAAGCAAAAAATGTATAATGTGCAGAACTGTACACACCCAACTCATAACAACAAAGCCAATCAATAATTAATTAAATTATAGTTCATTTCCTAATTTCCTTACTGTCAGATTAATTGATTGATGGCCTTCCATGCAGTGACTGATTGATTTACTAATTGATTAATGGCCTGAATGAGTCATTGCAAAGAAATGACAACAACACACCACATTCATGCAAGTCCAAAACTAGAGTAAGTAAATGAGAGATTGATTGTATGATGCACTTGGAATATGAACTTCATACACAGCCTCAGCTATCATCAAGTTCTCTGTGGCTCAGTGGTAAAGAATTGAACCAGAAAAACACACAACTGTAAGGTTCATATCCTTGTGGGAATTCAGATTTTTTTCTATCATTCATCACCTATGACAAATAAATAATATCTTTTCTAATTTATTCTATCACCAAGCCCAAAGTTCACCATCTTTTTTTTTATCTAAATGTATTTATACAACATTCACAAGGGTAAATATCAAGTAACACTATGACTAACTGTCAAAAAGCCTCTATTTTTATTTCTGGTTGGTAACAAAAAGCCTTTCTAATCATCCAAGACCAAGATTATATTTCCTTCTCAGACTCTATGTCCTTGGAAACAAGAGAGGTAAGATTTCTTCAATGTATGGACAAATATACTAACATCATATTTTCCTGCTTGTCTGTCAGGATGCTGAGCAAGCAGTTCACGCACATCATTAACACGACCTTGGAGAACCAAACAGTAGATCTGAGGGGAAAGCAGAAGGCCTTATTTGTAAAATCCCAGCAACAAATGTAATTTAAATGAATGAGCATTACCCTGGTTAAAAGAGAAAACACATTACTTACAGCTGGCCAGTATGAAGGGCTATTATAAGGCTGCAGATGCTGTAGTACTTCTTTAATATACCTCTCCGCATGTCCATTTTGAACCCATTCCAACAAATAATGCAAAACAGCCCCTCCTGAAGGAGAATTTCCAAATATTTGTCATGCCATTAACAACAGTTGTACAGTATGAAATCAATGCAACAGATCAAAACTCAGGACTCAGAACTGTTTATTCTTAACTTCTAGTTTCGTGATATTAGCTATGCCTTGGTTCAAAGAAAGATGGGGCAAATTGTTTTTCCCTTTCATTTGTCCATTGGACAAGCATGTTCCAGTGTTTAATTGAAGGAACATAATATCTATTTGTTGGGTAACTCATGGGCTGATTTAACACCCTTTTTATTCATTCTTGGGGTTACTCCAACATAATCTTTGCAGAAATTGGAAAATTCTCTTTGCACAGTTCTCCATTACTCTTCACACTCATCAAAGGTTTGTTCTTGACTGCAATTCAGACTGGAGGATGCAATACTTCTCTCATCATAGGGAGCAATTTTGACAACAACACAACTCCACTCATCCAAAAGCAATTTTGTTCTTTTGTAATCATGCAAATCTTTGGATGCTATTTTATTTGTTTGTTTTCTCCCTAGGCTACAACATTTGATTCTGAGACAAGAGTGCATAGTCTTGCATTCATGTCATAGTGTCAAAGATAGTGTGGCAAAAATTGGGAAGAAGTGTTTTTCTAAGCAATGAGTTAATGAAAAACCAATAGTATCAAATCATAATTCAGTATCAGCATGATGAAATGTAAATCTTCAGGTGTTGAACTTGGGTAATTCACTTTCAATCTGTTTTAGATACTAGTTTTAAATAAAGTTGAATTTTCATGTACTCCACAGACAGCTGCTCCCCACACACATCTTGACCTAGCTTGAAGCTGTTTCATTATGCAACAGTTTTCACAAAACTGTTGCATAATGTAAAACGTGTCAAGTCTCTTTCTTGTAGCTTGTTCTACAATTCTTTTGCAAGCAAACATAATGCACTTGAAAGGGAGAGACCCTTCCAGGCCTTTACTTCAGTCACCACTTAATCCTTACATTTTGTTTTACAGCTACAGGTCTTCTCTTACCTGGCAACGTTTCAATAAAAAGTATCTCACACAGATGCCAGACAGTCTCTATAAGTGTTAACAGTTGCTTCTGGAAAGCAAAAAAGACAATCCAACTACTTACTGACAAAACACAAACAAAATGAATAGTAAGGTTAGGGAATGCTAAAAGGTTGTCATAAACCAAGTTGTTTCAAAGGAAACACCATAATTATTGTTTATGGTTTGATAATATGATCTGAATCAGCATAGACTCTTATGATTCAATTTCTCCCACAGCTTCTTTGCTTTCATTTTGATTTAAAGTGCATAGAGTCTTCAGTCTTATCTCTCTGCTTGAGGAAATGTAATGAAATGCTGTCTCTATAGTTTGATATACTTGTACAATATTTATGTGATGCAAATGAAACCAAACTAACCATATTTGAAAGTACATTGTAACACTACAGGTATGCACATACTTGTGAAGCAGATGGAGGAACTTTGAATCTTAAATCACCCAGAGGTTCATTAGCATCTTAAAAATAAAGTGAAGATTGTTTAATTGACTTTCACATACACTAGAGCGAGCATAAGTAATAGAGAGTTTTCATTGGGAAAAACCCTAACCTCCTATCCACACAATGATGACTCTGAACAAAAATAGATAAAAAAATGTTCACTTAGTTAACAAAAAGCTAGTCAAAAAGCAGTTACCGTCAAACTGAACCTGGTAACACAACAAAAAAGACCAGCTGAATTTCTTTTCAAGTGCACTACATCTAAATCCGGTGAGTACCAAGAGTGATATACACTAATCAAAGAGTAGGCATTGTTTATTTCTTTGCTAACATTTGTTTTCAGCAGCAAACAACAATGAACATACCAGACTTTTCTTCCAGATCCAAGATGCATGCTCTTACTACACTTCTGTATCTTCTACTGAACTTTATCAAGCTGTGAAAATAAAAAAAAATTGTCAAAGTACATATTAATTACAAATAAATTTTCTAACATGAAAAAGAGCTTTTCATCTTGGAAGTTCACGAAGTCTCAGTAATTGACAAGTTTGTGAATTCTTTCTATTAAAATTTTAAGCAAAGATTAATATACAAGGAAACGTTACATCATGCTTCTGCTTGAATACCAATAAAGGCAATGTGATCCAACTTGAACATTTCCAGTATCGGTATAATTTGTTATTAAATTTGGCAGCCATGGAAATAAGGAAACAATTTTGAACAGGTGGATTTGCAGTAAAAGTTGCCAATTTAGAGGTCTGTGGTTGATGTTCTAGTGGCAAGCACTAACATTTAAGTTAGACTAATACTTGAATCTAACACTAAGAAACTGTGGTGCTGCATCCATAGGGGAGTATAACAGGATAACTTTGGTTTTATCAACTGAGTTGATAATGAAAATTGTCCACTGAAAGTTTCAAAGCTGACATTTCAAGTGTTAGTCCTTTAACTCAGTTGATAAAACCAAATTTACCTTAATATAATTATATTTCTAGCCACCATTTTATAACTGAACAGATTTAGGCTTTCGGCATTCAGAAAGTTTAGTTCACTCAGTCAGTTGTACCTTGCCTTTCTCCCTGTTCCTCCAGAATCAGGAACATGTTGAAGATCCATAAAAATGGCTAGGATACAAATAAATATGACAAAATTAATATGACAAAATTATTCCATGCTCACACACTTTGGCTTTCCTTTGATATCTTTGATTACTATAAGGTCTATGCGGTATATCAACTTTTTCTAGACACAGTAATTACCTAAAACAAGTGCAGTTCATTTAGATTTTTGTTATTCTTAACCCAATCATTTCACTCAACATCTATACTATAATTCAGGACATGTTTAATCATATAACTCCTTAAATTCCTCAATTAAACCTAAATTAATTGCAATTTAAAAAATATACCTGATTCAATTATTTAACATATAATTTATACACAGATATTTTGCAAGTTGTGTAGAATTTTTCTGAGCCCTGAAGGGGCAAGGAAAAATATGAGCAATGAGCAAAATGTCTGCTTGAATTTTATGTTAAAACATTGATGAAGGGTTTAATTATTCCACTATTATTTCACTTTAACCCTTTAATCCCATGAGTGACCAAGACAGAATTTCTCTTTTCAATATCAATACAATATCAAGCAGACAAGTGATGAGAATAGGGAAAAATATTAATTAGGGATTATTGGTTGATCCAATACCAAATTCTCCAAACTAACATCACAAGAACTATATGGCAGAGTGTGAGGAGAATCATTAATGAGAGTTAAAGGGTTAAAGTTTTTTTATTTTAGTTTGCAAATCACATTCCATGGTCTCATCTGTGCATTGTATCAATCACATAAAAAGTATGTGAAAGAAGAAAACAACACACACAAAACCACGGAACTGTCTGTTGTCAACTACAAAATTGTCTGTTGCACATAAAATTATTTCTTGACAATCAAGACTGAAAAACAAAAAGAATAAAAAACCAAAGTTTGGATTGTTCAGAGCAACCCTTTTGTTGCTTCATATTTTTGCCCTGCTCTACAGTGTAATACTACGGCATATTTTGTGCACTTACATGAACTAATTTGGTAAAATAATGTAGTATTGGAAAACTATTTTACTATAGTTTCTTACTATGTACTGTATATTGTCACCTAACCAAGCTTTGCAAGTATCAAAAGTGTTGCTAACTCATCACAGAATAAACTTTTGTTTGTCATCAGTATTTATAAATGACAATAAATTTGAAACAATATATTTTTTGGCTATTTTGAAACAAACAAAACTATTAGTCAAAGTCTATTTCAATAATACATGTATTTCATACCGTGTGTTTCATTAATTAATTTGCGGGTTATTAAACTTTGAAAATCTGCTCCCCATTGGACCTCATGTAGAACAGGAATTTGGCAGTGCTCTGAGCCCTGAGATACTCCTTAAAGAGAAAATGAAGTACTTACACTACAGTTATTGAATATTAATCCTTGTTGACAATGCAATTGCATCAGTTTTCTTGTGGTTACTTACTTAAGAGGGCACTAGAATTTACTACAAAGTACTGTCTCTCCATCACAATTAACCATCTCCTGACAATTTGTGAGAACTGGTTTTGGTTAAGGAAGAGAAGCTGCAGTCAGCTTGTAGACAGGGATAACTAACAGTTCTGTTAACTTGCTAGGGTCACATGATTTCAGGTAAGATTAGCCATGTGATTCAAAGTCAAATCATGTGATTTTGTTTACTGCTAGGTATGATTCGAGATGAAAAATAATAGTACATGTCAAGAACTTTTGTGGGTTCCTGCTTGGATCCATTGCATTACTTGTTTAAAATAGAGGAATTTGTTAAAAAAATTAAAGTCAGGTGCAGTTTTCTCCCTGGGTTAAGACATAAGCAAGCTTTAACTAAAGACTGTCTTCTAAAATATCTTTTGCCCTCCAAGTTTTATCCTCAAACACTTGCTACAAATTTAGCTGTAAACTGGTGCATTTCAATAGAGAAAATGCATTTTGGGTAGGTTGGGCCATAACAATGCCAATATATGTGCTGAGTCTTACTTAGCAGTGGTCTAATCAAGTTTACTAAATAGCAGTTTCAACAATTTTTAAACTACTGCCTCGTTTGATTATTTAAATATAATAAATAAATGCTGAAATTACAATTAGTTCCAATCAGGTTTCTTGTTGCAAATTTTAATTTCATATTCTTAGGATGACACATTACATGTGGTGACCCCAGAGGCCTGCAGGCAAACAATGCTGTGAAAATCTGTGGGTATGTACTGTAGCTACAAGCATTATGTTATATAACAATCTTACTTGACTGGATATCTGACTTATGAACAAGTATTCCACTTCCTGGTACCCAGTAACCTGCAAGACCCCGACATCCTGGAATGATCTTTACAAATAGTGAAAGATGATAGAATCATCAGCATTGGTAGCTTCACCTTTTCAGGGGAATCAACAATGAAGAGAAGGTGGCAAAGGGTGTAAATGTGACTCATAATTAAGCCCAAAATTATTACATAATTTGTGAGTTCTACACAAAGGCAAGGTAAGGTGAGATTTGAAGTTTTCTATTTTAAATTATTGGTGTGCAAAATAATTTTTAAAGTACACTTGACTTGACGCACCAATTTTTTTTTAACTTTGTGCATGAAATGGGAACAGGACCCCCTCTTTTGTTACCCTCTGATAAAATTTCTCAGTACACTAGCATTAATTGTGATCCATACCCAGTGGAGTCCATTTGAGGTTTTACTCTAGTGGACTCACATAGGGCTTTGAATGTGTCATACTGCATGTGTTCCGTGTTCGTTAGCAAAATCGAATACCTTTACAGGCACAGTCTTTCACAGTTTAGAGACTGGTAAAACGTTAATAACCTTCTTTAATGTTCCCATTGAAAAAATGGATATAAAGTCTTAAAGGGACTAAAATAACTCTTTTCTAAAAAGAAAACTATGAGCATAACTTCCTCACTGGTTGTTACGCTTTCAAAGTAACAATGTTAGCTGTAGAGGCTTGCTTTCTGACAAACGTTTATGAATAGTACGTAAAGACTTCCTGAATCAGCAAAATCTAAGAATTCTCCTCTTTTAGGACAATATTTTCTAAAATCGGGACTACATACGATAGGTTCTTGAAGGGCACGTGTAAATAGTTTAATGTATGCACAATGTGACAGAGAATTCAGACTGTTGCAGATATTGCCATAAATCATATTTTAACACGAGAAATACAAAGTATCACGAAAAGCTGCTCGCAAAATTTTGCACAAAACAAGAATTTGAAAGAAGTACAAACCGTAGTTGGAGCATCAGTGGCCGCCATTTTGTTCACCAGAGCACCCGTGTGTGACGGTCCCCGATACCAGTCTACCGACGGTCAAGAAGATTTGGCGGGAAAATAACGAAGGCCTCTGTTGGCTACCCTGCTTCCGACAAAATTTGCAAACTTGTTTCAGAGGAATGCCGCTTCAGTGAGCGCGCCGGAGAGTTCGGAGTGGTTCACTTTTCAACGCAATTTTTTTATTTTGAAGACGGGAGCAACTCAATGAAGGGTGGAGTCGGGAGGCAAAGGAGGACAAAAGTACGGGAGGCGGGAGAACGTGGTACGAGAAGCAGAAGACTCTGACCCCCT